TCAAGCTCCCATCCTTCACCAACTTATGCTGCATAGGAATGTTGATGTGACACAGCCTCTCGTGCCACGTCTCCCAATCGGCCTCACCACTCCCGGAAGAAGCCTTTGCCCATCCAGCTGTCCCATCCACACCAGCAAGCACCTCACCATGTGGCTGTTGTGGCTGCTGCACCTTCTTGTCTACATCCAGGGCCCCATTAGTTGGTGCAGTCTCCTCTCCTCCCGCAGTTGCTTTAGCCGTTGCTGCTGCCGCTGCCGTTGATGGTGGTTTCCCGTTCCAAGGGATAATGGGCAGCTGCCAAAGGTCCTTGATGCAGCTGCTCTTCTCCTCCAAATCCCACAGCAGCAACTTCCCAAGCTTTGCACGGCAGCTGGTTGGGCCGAAGGTCACTTTGGCCTTGCTTTTCTGCAGCCGGCGCACAGAGAGGAGGTTAGCGGACAAACCTTCAACCAGCAACACATTCCCCAGCCCCACAAGCCCCCCATTGGCTCCCATTACCTTGGCATTCCCAACACCAATCACAGGGAGCAAAGCACCTGAAGCGGCAGCCACATACTTGATCTTCCCAGGGGGTTTTACCTCGTCAAGCAAATCTGCCCGTGGGGTCATGTGACTTGTGCATCCTGAATGGATTACCCAGTGAGTGAGGGGGTGCATCACAACCTTCCCAACTGAACACACATCACCCCCACTCCCTTGCACATCCTCAACCATGAGGAACATCCCAGGGTCAGCTTTACATTGTGCACCATCACCTTGTGCACCTGAACCTTGCATAGCGCCACCTCGTGCACGTTCACCACTTGGCAGCTTCATGCCTGGGGGCGCCCATCCCTCAGGCCGGCTGAAACACTTGAACCATGGGTGTCCAGCCTTCTTGCAGTACCAGCACGCACCCTCTCCCTCTGCCAAAGCCTCTCCCACGGCCTCGGCCTCTCCCTCCCCCTCTCCCTCTGCTGGCTCCTGCAGCTCCATACCCCTCAGCAGTTTTATTTGCATCACCACCTCCCGTGTGGCGCCTGCGGAAGTCCTCCTGCAGGATCTGCTGCCGTAGCCACTCAGGCGTCCACTTGTCCTGCTGAGCGTTGAGGGTAGGGATAAGGTTGTCCCACGAGTTGTCGAGCACCGAGATAATCTTGGTGCACTGCTGCATCTGTGACACCTTGCTGCCCGCCGCTGCCATCCTCGCATAGGTGTCCTTGACCTTGTCAAGCACCGGCTTCACATCGTCTCCCGGCCGCATGGAGAGGGCAGCCAGCTCCTTCTCCAATACGATCACCATCGGCAGCGTGTTGGGCTGAACCACGTTGCGTAGCACCTTCCACGCCTTTGGTCCCGAGTCATCGAGCTCCACCAAATCTTTGATGTGCTGGAACATGTCGTTGTTGACCGACTGTAGAATCAAGTCGTACAGCACCGCGCTTTTCTCAATCCACCGATCCCGAGCATCTTTTTCCTCGGGCATCTTCTCTTCTCCCATCGCAAGTTTCAGCAGCTTGTAGCGCTTGAAGACGCTCCTCATCCGTCTGCTCCATTCCTCGTAGTTGGAGCCATCCAATGCCTCAATCTTGGATGGTGGCGGCTCACTCCTCTTCTCAGCTGCTTCTCCACTCCCGTGACTCATCTCCTCTGCTCCCAATCACAGTTTTCAGCTCCCCCCTTGCTGTCCACACTGAAGTCCCACAATATTTTCACAAGTGTCGGCGCCAACGAAATTTCGGCAGAGTTTCCCCTTAGCGGAAGTCACATCCAACCTCCAGAACTCCACTTAGGCATGCCCACAGGCCATGGTGGGTCTAGGAGGGTCTTCTCACTTCAGTAGACTCTCCAAAAAGTCCTTAATCAGCTCTGATACCACTTGTTAGAGACTAAGGACGGAGTCTATGAAGATTAGGAGCCGAAATATCTCAAAATCGTTGGGCCTAGTTTCTAGACAGAAAAGTCGAGTTCACAAGAAACGCCGTCGACGAAAATTACGCAGTCAAAACTTCATTAAACTTAGATATGTTGTAGCTCTATTCCGTGGCTACAATTCCCAATTTGAATCGTACAAAAAGGTGAAGTATTTCTTGAGTTATCAATTCCGGCGCACTAGGGGGTAAGCTGCCATTGAAAACTTAACTCAATTGACAATAGTCTCACAATTTTACAATTAACCACACAAGAGAGTTAGAGTAGCAATTAACCAGGTGGGAGGGGAAGAGGAGGACGAGAGGGAAGTCCCCAAGGAGTCCCCAACCAAGGAAACCCCATTAGCACACCAAATCCCTTCCCTATAGGAACCCCACTTTTACTTTTGTCACTTTCCAACCCATGTCATCCACCTTGCCCAACTTGGCCACACTTGCCAACCTGGTTTGGCTCCTCCCAACCACTTGGCAGCATCTACAGTGATGTTGACGAATTTCACAACCCCCAAAAGTCTATACCTCTATGGAGTCAACACCACAACTTCCCATAGTCACCACAACCAAATATCAAAAGCATACGAACTTCCAACGTTCGTAACTTTCTTGTTCGTGCTCCGATTGAAGCGATACTTGGTTCGTCGGAAAGCTCTTGAGCAGAGGAGTCACTTCAGGTATCTGCTCAAGCCAAATAACATTCACACACACTCAGAAAAACCAAACCGCACAAAACACAAATTCTTGCATACGCTCACACCACGCATGCAACGCACAAACATGTGATGGGAGGAAGACAAACGTGAATGCATATGATTGCATCACACAACATCGTAGACCTTCAGCTCCATCGGTCGGTACCACAACGTTCGGCCACGACCATGCATGCGCTTATGGGCGGAGCGTGCCTCTTTGAGGAAGTCCGCGGCGCGCTTCCAGTTCGTGAGACATTTGCGATGGATGCCACTCTCGCGAGCCAAAGAGCGCATTGACACCGCAACATCCAGCCGCGCGGACCTCTTCAACTTCTCGGTGGCAGTGTAGGCCTGACGCTTGTGCTCGTTCATCTTGTGCCTAGGAGAAGGAAGGCGGGCATCACGGTTCTGTGAAGCAGGGTGTGGTCGCTTGCGATTAATAGGAGGGAAAGAGGGTATCAAGAGTTTCTCGGGAAGCCCGTCGCGTGACCAATACTCGACGCCGTCGTCGTCGTCGCCGCCCGAAGCACCCTCGGGAAACACATCCCCAGCGGTGCCGGCCTCGGTGCCACCCTCCGTGCCACCCTCGTCGTCGGTGTCACGCTCAGCGTGCCACTCTTCCTCGGTGTCAGCCACCTCGTCGTCTACGCCAACTGCAGATTCGTCCCAGTTGCAGTTATCGGGCTGTCCCCATCGTGGTGCCGGGGCCGGAGCTTCTACGTATTCATCTTGGGGCTTGTCGCAGTCCAGTTCCGAGAGATACTTGTTGAACGCCGATGGGAGAAGGAGCGTGAGCACGGGTTGATTGCCCGTGACCACAGGAGGCACGGGATACACAGGAGATGGAGGAACGGGAGGAGCAGGAGGAGTAGGAGGCGTAGGAGGCGCAGGAGGAGCAGGCGGCGCAGGAGGCGCAGGAGGTTGTGGTGGCTCTGGTGGGATATGGGAATACCGTGCTTCCCCGGATAGAAGACCCTAGGGTCTTATGCTAAATCCCTGGAAAAAATGGGGGGGGTCTTAACAAAGGAAAAAAAATATATACCACCCGGGTCTTTTCATACGACGTATTTTTTACTTGGTGTTTTGAACACTACCTCCAATACTGAAATGGTGGGTTTGCTTTTGGTGAGCACAAGCTAGCAAATAGTTCGCTTGACCAGTCAGAACCGAATTCGTTTGTCACAGTGTAGATTCGCCCCTCTGACGCAGCAATTTCACCCCCTGACACGGCAATTGCGCTCCCTGACGCAGCAATTTCGCCACCTGACACGGCAAATAGACCCCTGACGTAGCAAATCAGCCCCTTGACACTCGGAATTCGCCCCCTGAAAGCCAGATTCGCATTATAGGATGTTTCATTTTGGAACAAAACAAAGAAAATGTACATGGGAAACCCCCTTGCAAGGGAATTGGGGGGTCTTATATTTATCACCCCCCAAAAGGGGGGTATAACAAAATCGAGGTTTTATAAAGTACCCCCCCCCCCCCCCCCCGTATTAGGTACCCGGGGGTGTTGTAGTTTGGGGGGGTCTTCTATCCGGGGGAATACGGTACCACCCGTCAGCGTCAACTCTAAATGCGGACCTAGCAGTAGGCTTCTTCTTGAACAAGAAATGGGTGCCGTGAATTCCGCCATGGCTTTCGCAGCCTGGCGGGAGAGAACCCGAAATTGAATGAAATACTGGATGAATGAGGGAAGAAATGAAAGATTGAAGGGGACCCCTTCGGCTCAGCGCCTCGGGGTCCTCGTCAATGAACGAGGGTTACCCCTCTGCCTGAACCCGCAGAGGAGGGTTCATGGCACCATCCATGCTGCGCTGGCAGGGCATCTTCTACCCCCTTCTAGAGGGTTCGGTCGAAATGCTCCTGCCTGACAGTGCATGACGACCTGATTGGGCCGCACAGCAGCTTTTGCGTCAGCGCTGGCAGGTGCGTTGCTCCGGGTCAGGTTTTGTGCGGAGGAAATTCGAATCGCGGCAAGTTTCGCCGTGATTCCATGCACAATCCCATGCGCATGTCACATCTTTGTATTCGCCTTAATGAGCTTCAATTTAGTACCTTCATATTTGAATTTCATTTTTGACTTTATAAAAGCGCAGGCGCTTATGGCCGTTACTCAATTACAACCGCCCCCCTTAAAAAAATGATTTTGTTATAAGCGCATAAGCGCCACTATTTGGGGCCATACGGTACAGTAGACAATGAATAGATTGAAAAAAAATCAAACAGATACCATGTACAAGCAAACGGGGACACTGACGTAGATACAGCTAGCCACTCATGATTGGAGTTACAAACCATTCAGTGTTGAGAGCACCTGCAGCAGCAGTCTCTCATTGAGTGGCTTCTGCACGGCTCCATCCATGCCAGCCTCGGTGGCACGAGCGGCAACAGTGCAGTCTACATCTGCTGACATGGCCACCACATGAATTCGTTGCCGCTGCTGCCAGCCCCTCTCCATGGCCTCCACACTGGTATGCGATGCACGTCTTGGGCCGCCTGGGCGGCGGCCTCGAATGCGCGCAGGCGGGCGGTGGTGTGGAAGCCGTCGAGGCCGGGCATAAGGAGGTCCATGACCACGAGGCGGAAGGAGTGGCACGCCTGCAGCAGGCGCAGCGCCGCCTCGCCCGACTCTGCCAGCGCCACCTCCGCCCCGTACCGCGCCAGCGTGATCGCTGCCACCCGCCGGTTGATCATGTTGTCGTCCACCACCTGGGGCAGCACAGGGGGGGTGAAATGAATGGATGAAAATGGCGTTACCCGCTGCTGCCACCCGCCGGTTGATCACATTGTCGTCTACCACCTGTGTGATAAGAGGGGTGCGGGGGTATAGGGGGGTGCAGAGGGGTGAGAACAGAGGGGCGCAGATGGCGCTGCCTACCACCACCTGGCCCGCACAGGGGGGTACGGGGGGGTTGAGAGTGGTGAGAACAAAGGGACGGTTGATGGGTTGTCCTTCACCACATGGCCAGGTAGAGCGCAGGGACATCCAAGGGAGGTGGAGAGGGGTGAAGAACGGACGGACAGAGATGACATGCGCGTTGTCACAGTGTGGTGAGGTGAGGGGACGACGGAAGTGGGTTGCCGGGAGTGTGGCGAGGAGACCAAGGGGTAGGTTGGGGAAGTGTTGGTGAGGAGTGACAAACAGGAAGAAATGGAAGCGTGCTGAGGCTAGTCTGCATTGCGTGGTGGAGAATCGGTGTCCTGGTCTAGATTGGGTCGTCTCCGAACGCATTGCCTTGCAACTCACCAGAATCGCCTTGCCCTGGAGCAACTCCTTCAAGCTATCCCTCGCACTCTTCGTCTTCACGCCCTTTGTTTCGTCGCCAGCAGTAGAGGAAGAAACAGCACAAGTGGTCGCTGGCTCAGAAACATCGGCGCTGGCTGGAGAAGAGTCACCTTCGTCAGCTGCAGCAGCAGCGGCAGTGGCAGCGGCAGTGGCAAGCGCAACAGGCATGGGCAGAGCGACATGCAGAGTGGTGCCGTGACCCTCTGTGCTGAGCAACCCAATGCTGCCACCCATGAGCGATACCTGCCACGGGGAGGAGGTGTTGGGGGTGTATGGTTGTTTGTGAGTGTGATACACCACCAGGTATGAGGTGAATGAGTGTGAATGAGGGTGAATGTGGGTGAATGTGGGTGAATGTGGGTGAATGTGGGTGAATGTGGGTGAATGTGGCAGAGGTATGAGATAGAGGGAGAGTTGGAAGCAAAAAACACATCAAGTGTTGAAGGACCTAGCAATTGTAGAAACAAACAACTCACCAGCTGCCCAAAAAAAAACATCAGCTGCCCCCCCCAAAAAAAGAAACCACCAGCTGACAAAAAAGGCCGACTGACTGCCAGAGGAGACTCACAAGCTGGCGACACAAGTGCAGGCTCATGCCGCTGCCTCCGTGCTTTCAGGTCTGAATGGGTGGATGGGCGGTGTGAGACGCACGAGAATGCAAGTAGTCAGTGTGCTAAAGACTAGCACGTGGATGGAAGGCCGCGATACTCAGCCGATGATTGTGTGAGGTGAAACATTGCTTTTACATTGCATCCTTGCTTCGAGTGCACTGCTTGCTTCACCTGCATCAGCCGCATGACATCAGCAGCATAAGGGGCACAGCTCACCTGCATGAACGCCTTAGTGCCTCTACGCACATACTCAGAGCTCACCTGTATGAGGGGCAGGGCTCACCTGCATGAGGGGCAGGGCTCACCTGCATGAACGCCTGAAACACGTCGCGCTGCTCCTCCTCTGCGATGCCACACCCCGTGTCCTCACATGTCAGCAGCACCACACACTGCCTCTCAGCATCCTCCTCCACCCCTGTGCACTCTCCTCTGCCCCGCCCGCACCACCACGTCTCCACTGCTCCCCTCCACCAGCCCACACCACCACCCCGTGGTGCTGTCCTCCCTGCTTCACTCACAGCATCCTCCCCATGCGCTCTTGTTCCTGCACAATAGGACATGACCCCACTCCCCTACGCCCACCCTCCTCCTCATCTCCCGCACCCAAGGATGCAGCACTACCCCTGCCTTCACTCAACTCAATGCACACCCTCTCGCCTCTGCTTCCGCCTCCCACCACCCTCTCGCCCCACACGCTTACCCTCTCCTCCCCCTCCTCCCTCTCCTCCCCCTCCTCTCCCCCCCTTCCCCTCGCTCTCCCCCTTCCCCTCGTTCTCCTCCTGCTCCGGCCCCCCCTCCTGCACCTGGGGCATGCGCCAGTAGCACCCAAGGCACTGCACAGACAAGCTTCTCTGGAGCACCCGTTTATTGCATGCGCCCGTCACCGCCCTCGCCAGCCCTTGCTGCCCCACCTGCTCCCAGAACGACATCTTAAGAAGTGGTTATCCCACTTCGTTCCGATGCACAGCCGCACTGGCAACATCAGCAGTGGTAACAACAGCAGCGGCAGCATCAAGGTTGTCAGCAGCAGCAGCAGCAGCAGGCAAGGAGCAGCCGGGGGTGGGTTGAGCGAGGAAGCAGCCGAGGGAGAGCAGGTGGGTGAGGATGTGGGTGTACGGGGGAAGGCACTGCAGCCGCACACACACGCTTCCGCTGGCCGTGAAATTTATGGCGTTGTCTGGGGGGGGGCAGTTTGCAGAACGAATAGTGGAGAATGGTGAAGTGAAGGTGAATGGGGTGTAGTGCATCAGAAGTCCAATTTGTCGGCTCACTGAGGTGAATTGCGGGAGTCTGTTCAGACCAAAGGAGAGAAATTCGTTCAGACCACAAAAATTCGCTCGTTACGGTTTGATGGGCTCGCCTACAAAGTACGAGACACAGGTCGGGTCAGCTGCTGGCTCGGCTCGTCAGCCTGCCTCGCTGGCTCGTTATGCCTTGAAACACACAGGCTGGAATTGACCTATGCTCATGCCTAGTGTGCGACTGGGTGTTGGATACCTCGTAAGCGAGCCTAATCAATGGTGGCTCGGGTAGATGTGGGCACCATGTGTGGGCAGCTCAAGTAAACTCTAGTGCTTTGTTGAGTCTCAGTTCCAACCACTCTTGCGAGCCAGAAACCTGGACGTGAGTGGCGCTAATGGCGCCTCATTACGAAAGGAGTTTCTTGTGAAACTGAGGCAGTGGACTTCAGATCAGAATCAAACATTGACTACTCTTGCACAAAAACCCTTCCCGCGAGTCAGCCATGGCTCAAGGCAAAATGTGGACTGTCGAGTTGGCCAAAACGTGGACTGTAGAGTTGGGCAGAATGTGGACTGTCGAGTTGGCCAAAACGTGGACTGTCGAGTTGGGCAAAATGTGGATTGTCGAGTTGGCCAAAACGTGGACTGTCGAGTTGGCCAAAATGTGGACTGTCGAGTTGGCCAAAACGTGGACTGTCGAGTTGGCCAAAACGTGGACTGTCGAGTTGAGCAAAATGTGTCGAGTTGGGCGAGGGTCAACGTTGGCTCAACTCTACTCAACTCAATCGGGGGCCGACTCAACTCGCCTCATCTTCATGTGCAAGCAAACCCATCCAACCTTATCCACACCTAGAGCTGGCCATTGAATAATAATTGGGCTGTTCCATGTTAGAATCTCAGCCACTACACTGCTGGGATAAAATGGCTTGTTAAGTAGCAAATGAGTGCGCCCATAACCCCCCATGCAAGCGTGCTTGTAACCCTTCCATATGATCCCTAGTGCACGTCTTCTTACACCCATTCACTGAAATGTTCTAAGGCACGGCACAGCGGCAAGGACACATGGGGCGCCAACATGTGTGCACATGGGAACTCGAACTCGAGATTTTCGCTCTGATACCATGTCAGAATCTCAATCACTACACCATTGGGATAAGGGTCTGTAAAGTAGCGGGTGAGTGTGCCCATAATTCCCAAAGCAATCATGTCTGTAGCTCTTCTCTAGGATCAATCGGGGATCCCCAGTGCAGATATTTTGACAATCTACTCACCGACTATTTTGTCGACCACTTGCTGCAGGCACAAGTAGTCCCCCACTAGCACACTGGGCACATCCCCATCCACATGCCATGTGACTGAAAACGCACACACCCACATGCACACGCAGGAAAATCAGGCCAACATGAGAAACGCAAGCAGAAATAGGCGATCTGTGTGAAGTGATTAGAATTCTCACAGCAGCATTCAGAGATTAGAATGTGAAGACTCACAGATCGCGTTAACATGAGCACAGAGCAGTGAATGATTGTGATTGTATCAGCTGAGTGGATCTTACTTCACCAACGGGATTACAACCTTCAGAACAAGGAGACATCGAAAGGAAGAAAACTCTTTGCTTGACGTTTTGAGACGGCTCTTTCTCGCAGGAAACTCAGGCCCCTCATGGGCACTCATGGCCACTCATCATGCCCACTCCTGCCCACTCGTAGTCACCCATGCACCTTATTGCCACGAACCTTCCATGCCAAATATTGGGGTGCGCAGCTCAAGCGATGTGTTGGCGATGTGTTGGCGATGTGTGCACCCTTGTTGCGCTCCGCCACCTCCGCCTTCTCCTTCAGAATCGCCATAGAAATAGTCTTCTCGCGCAGCCTCCGCATGTTGATCGTCACGCTCACGCCAATGGCAGCCAGCAGTGCCGCCACCACAAGGATGATCACCCCCAGGAACACAGCAGTCATGCTGTGGGCTTCGTCCGAGCCCTGAAAGCTAGGGGTTAGGGGAGGCGAATTAGGGGCAATGGGAGCAGATGGAATTGATGTTGATTGAATAGGACGCATTCCATATCGAGTGCATTCCATATTGAGCATATTCCATATTGAGTGCATTCCATATTGAGTGCATTCCATACTGAGTGCCCTTATCGAGTGCATTCCATATCAAGTGCATTCCATTGGGTCTTGAAAGACTGGAAGTGCATTAGGTGCAACATGGGCAAAGAGTGGTTTTGATTCGCCTAAAGAAGCTCTGTGACGTAGGATTGACACGACGAGCCGTCACCAAAGGGAGACGGCGAGAAAGGGGAAGTTGAAGGGAGCGATTATAATGGAAGAGCAGCGCGTCCCTAGAAGCGACTCACTGGCACCGCCAGCGCTGGTAGCTCCGTGATGGATTGGTAGTTGTGAGGAGGGTTGTGAGCGGGAGGGTTGTGAGCGGGAGGGTTGTGAGCAGGAGGGTTGTGAGTTGGAGGGTTGTGAGCGGGAGGGTTGTGAGCGGGGGGGTTGTGAGCGAGAGGGTTTTGAGCGGGAGGGTTGTGAGCGGTAGGGTTGTGAGCGGTAGGGTTGTGAGCGGTAGGGTTGTGAGCGGTAGGGTTGTGAGCGGTAGGGTTGTGAGCGGTAGGGTTGTGAGGGGGAAGAGGAATCGCTGTGAGGTGAGAAGGGAGAGAAACAAGATTTACGGACTGGACAAGCATAGCACACCAGAAGACTTGCCATAGGGGAGCCGTTTGGGAGAAACGACAGTGTATGCCTGGAAGCAACTCACCGGCACCAGAGCTGGTATGTTCTTGGTATGTCGGTGAAATTGATCTGCTGCACTGACTTGTGGCGCTGCGGCTGCAACATGGTTTCGTTCAAGGGCGGAATGATCTTAGCCACTTGCAAGGGGTCGCCTTGAGGCACGTCCAAGCCCCCCACCCCGTACAGCAGGCGCGGACCATCCATGGGGTTGACGTCATAGACCTCAAGGGAACGCTCCACGACTGCAGTGCAGCAGCACGAGGGGCACGCTCTGCTTTGGTTAGCACAGCGCAACAAGCGTGTGACGGGAGCAGCACGCAGCGCAGGCAACCAGCATCTAGGCAACTTGCATGACATACAGCTCAATGAATGGAAATGCCATTCTTAAGCCATCCCTAAGTCGGTGGAAACGTGGACGCGAATGCACTAGGGGAACACAAGAAGGGAAGGTGGTGGGCGCCTTTGAATCTCATCAGTGAAAATTCTCGTGCCCTACTGAGTACTTCGTTGTGCGAAAACACTAACAGCCTAGTTCCTGAAACGGTACCAATCCCCCCCCCACAACATTACTGAAAAAATCAAGTCACGATTGGTGTTGGTAATTACTGCACAGCTTGCTCATTGTCACCACGGCCAACCGCACTGCACACCTTGTCGGAGCACTTCAAGAATGATAGATTCGGCGAGACGATCAAAGTCCACCGATACCGCCATGCCGCCCATGATCACTGCCTGCCTCTCTGCCCACGGCGCTGCTGCCGTCACGTTGCCCTTGAAGATCGGGAACATCATGGCTGGAGCATGAGAGGAGAAAGAGAGTCGACATGAGATGAAATGGACAACCAAATGGAAAGAGGTGAAATTGGGAGATGGGGAAGCGAGGGCGAGATAGAAACACAGAAAGCAACGAGAAAGCGCGAGGGACAGGAGCGAGAGAGGGATGCAGAGAACACCAAGGAGAGACACATGCCAACATGCTTGGGAAGAGGAGTGCCCACTCCTCATGCAGTCAATCATACGCCTCTGCACCCGCTCGCTCACCCATGCCGGGATGGCCATTGTTTAGAAAATAGGGCGTGGTGAGGATGGCTGCACCCGTGATCTTCATGCGCGTCAGCTCCGGCCCGTACGACGGGTGCAGGTGGCCATCGGAGCAAGTCGTGCTGTTCTCAACCAAGGGGAAGGGGCCCTGCTCGTCGAACCAGAAGCGCATGTCCATGTACCAGTCTGCGGGTGGGGCAGGCCTCTCCTGCATGTCCCCCGGTGTGCACCCCATTCGCCGCTCAAAAACCGCCCTGCAGGACATGCCACGAAATGCCATGAAGGGAGGGGAAACATGCGGGAAACATGCGGGGAACTGTAAGTCGAAATTCCGCAGCTCTGCTTCGCACCGGATCCTGTTTGTAGTCGACCATTTCTCACTCAATGCGCTCGAGGTGGTCCAAACCAAGCCGAGGTTGTAACTCGAGGATTCTCAATGCCGATGAATGCTCAACGGGTTTGGATTGATGAGGGCTCAGGGGTCTGGCGCCGAACCAGGCAAACTACTGTAGTTCGAGCCGAACCTGATCTGGTTTGTCCAGCATGCCAAATATAGGACGCAGTTGGGTTCAAGGCGCAGTGGTATGATTGTATTGTTGTAAGCACACACGCACGCACGCACTCAACCTCTCACCTAAATAATGCAATGGTGGGGCAGTGAAATATCATTTGACGCTTCACCTCGCCCAGAAAGTGACGAAGCCGCTGCTCATGGTACGCATGGGCACTGGCCCGAGCCAATACCGCTGGTCATCACCTCGGCCCATCGATAGGTCGAGCAAAGCGATTCCACTTTGCCAACTTGTCACAAATCGACCCACCGGCCGGTTCATCAACTCGCCTGTCAGTCAGAATCAACCAGGCAGCTTCCGGCTTGTCCGGATGCGGAAACGTATAGATTCGATTCGACCCAGATCCATCCAGCAGATCCAGCTTCCGGCTTGCGCGAATGCCAGATCCGCGTGAAACCGGCAGACAAAGACAAGCCGTACCGGCAGACAAAGACAAGCCGTACCGGCTCACCCCGGCTCAGGCGGCATGCCTTAATGGACGAGGCACAAGCCCGCCTTCTCACCAGCTCGGCTCGTCGAGCCAAGTCTCTAGCTCGTATTATTCGTTGGGATATATCCCAGCATGCAGTCCGCAGCGACACATGCAAGGAAACACTCAAAACAAAGTCGGCGAGAGACGTGAACGGGGGACGGGAGCGAGGGAGGGCACGCGGGAGGCAAGAGGTGGCGCATGGGAAGAAGGTGACGGAAGTGTGAAGGCGAGAGTGAAGGCAGCAGCAGCAGCAGGTTTGAGGGCGGGGGGAGGGGGGGGAGGCGCACCTTTCAGAGCCGTTAACAAAGGCTCCGTAGGCAATGGCGTGCACCCAGGGGCGGGCGGCCTGCGTGCGGAGAATGTAGTTGGCAAAGAGCCGCTGAGTCAAGTTGTTGTGCGCCCCCCATGGGTCCTTTTGTATCCTCCCAAACACCATCACCAACCCCTCCACCGCCTGCACGCATGTGTGGGTGGTTTGGGTTGGGTGGAGTGGGGTGGGGATGGATGGGTGGGTTATACTTGTGGAGATGAGCTGGGTGAGTGAGGAGCGGTGGTGGTGCAACGAGGCACGGAAGCATGTCACAGGGTGATGGTGGCAGAGGGTGATGGTGTCACAGGGGGCGCCTGATGCACGCATGGGAATGCATGGGGGGGCGCATGGGTTGACACATTAGGGGCTGCATGGTGGGGAGTATGTGAAGAATCATGGGGACGGAAATGGAGGAGCACGAGAAATGCACAACCACCTTCCCACCACCCCGATTGCCCCTTCCCTGGATCTTTGTTAATCTAGTGATTTCCTTTTACCCACCCGACTCTTGAGTTGCGACGACGAAGGTTTTATACTGGAAAAACAACACATTTTTACGAGAGGTGTACATTAGTTGAAACGTTACTACAACTATCTGTCTTTATAGCTTTCTTGTTATCCTACCCCCGACAAACTAAAATCACCAAAAACAAATCCGCGCCATGAGTCGAAACCCATTTCGAGAATGACGGCAGAGATCACGTCATGCTTTCCAAGGCAGTGCGAGGAGCAAACGGTGGAAGGACGGGAACGCTGAGCGCGCGGGAGCAACCGCGGAGGGAACGAGGAAGCCAAGGGATGATTCTACTATTGCGCGGCACGAAAATGAACCTCCGTCACTGACTACGCACCGAACGTGTGCAACGCAATGCAATGAAGCCAAAGCGACGCGACGCAGTGCAATGAAGCCGAAGCGACGCGACGCAATGCAATGAGCCGAAGCGACGCGACGCGATGCAATGAGCCGAAGCGACGCGACGCGATGCAATGAGCCGAAGCGACGCGACGCGATGCAATGAAGCCGAAGCGATGCGACGCGTTGCAATGAGCCGAAGCGACGCGACACGATGCAATGAAGCCGAAGCGACGCGATGTGATGCAATGCAGGTACCTACACGTGGTTGGCCACGGACATGAACTGCTAGGAATGTCACACGGCACACCATACCTTTCGCCTACTAGTAGTACTACACGTGCCAGATGGTCGTCGATCTACCGCGTGTCGACCGTCTGCTACCTTAAAGTGGTCGGACGTGGATATGAACTGCTGCTGCAGCGGGCGCGCGCGACCGGCGCACCAGGTGTCGAGCTCCGCCTTGCGATTGTCGTCGAAGCCCTTCTGCACCCTCCACGCCAACAGCTCCGCCAGCACGCCCGCAAGCCCCATCCACACCGCCACCTCCGCAGCCATACGTGCTATCATCTTCAAAACTTTTGCACACCACCGCTAGCCTCGTTCACTATTAGTGTTATGTGCTTTGCACAGGAGCCAAACACCAGATTGGTGTGTCCGACTCCTTCCGCGTACGGTGTGGAAAGTACCCTTCAGAAATGGAATCCTGGCGTGTCGATTCCATAACACTTGGCGCGTCTTCATTCCCCTGTGGCGTCTCAGTTCGGTGCAGTTGGGTGCCGCATGTCTCTCCCAATCCAAGTGTTGCACCAGATCATCGCCATGGCTCTTTTTTATTATCGTCGCCCACAATGCTGGGCTAGGAGATATGACTGTACAGCATCCCCCAAGCTTTCCTATGATGCAGAAGGGACCACACGTGAGGAACCTGCCAAAACTGCCAGAAACCGTCCTTGCACGGTGGTACTACAATCGGTGCTCATTACGAGAACACCAGGTAGTCGAGCAGCATCGGACTGAAACGTGTTTTGGTGTTTCGTTGACCTTCTCTTGTGTCCCGACCAGCAAAAATAGGAATATATGGAAACTAAAAATGCTTCTGTAACTCAGTCAACAATTCTGACGATGAACGCGAGCAAACCTTGTTGTTTATGACTTGTAGATGTCGGCTTCCGCAAAAACGTTCACGCGTGATCATTGTACCTCATTCTTCTGCGATAAGGATGAGCATCGACTGTAGCGAATCTTGACGATTTGTACAAGATATATGTTCAAAATCGGAAAAAAATTGAGCCAAGAGGAACGAAATAATCGAGCTGCTATACGTAAATATAATGTTAAAAGAAATACAAGCATAACAAATTAATAGTACCATATTCCCCAAAAAGGTTGGTTGCGTGGGATTTTATTTGTGTCACCTGGTTTAGTGCATTAAAAAAACCAACTTCATAGTTAATGCAACATATTTATGATTTTTTTTTTATTCACGCTTGTTGTTTTACTTTCAATTACGGTAGGAAAACGAGGTCCCATGCTCTGCGGCACTACAGGGTCTTGAATTGTTAAGATGGGACATTGATGGCTTTGCGGAAGCGTTTTAGGACCGTAGTGTAACTAGAATTGGACTCGTAGAGAGTTGTGTAAGACTGAGCGCATGCAAATGTGAAATAATCGAAGGTTGAATATGAGCACAATGTGTCAAACTATATACATATTTATTAGTTATATGCTGCACTGGGGTAGCCCATATAGGGTTAGTACTTGTACAATTCCTTCCTCATGGTCAAACATTCTTTTGCCTATTATCTTAACATGGTATCAAAGGCTAGGTTAGGTCCAATTGCTGTACCTACTGACGTACCTACTGCCATACCTAGGTTAGGTCTGCCCCACGCTGCCCCTCGGGCGCTGCCTTTTGCATGCCTCGCGCTGCCGCGCGCGCCCCTAGCTGTCCCGAACGCGCTGCCCTGCACGCGCCCTTCCCGCCGCCCTGCGCGTTGCCCTCCGCGCGCCCTTCCCGCTGCCCTGTGCGCCGCTGCTGCCCGTGCACCGCACGCTGCCCTGCCCTGTGCGCTCGCGCTGCGTCGTGCGCTCGCGTTGCCCCCCGCGTTCGCCCTACCGCGCGCGAAGCCCTTCGCGCTTCCTCGCGTACGCCACCACCGCTGCTCGCGTGCTGCCCCTGCCTCGTGCGCCGTTGCTGCCTGGCGTCGCCGCGCTGCTGCCCCATGTGCCACCGCTGCCCCGTGCGCCTCCGCTGCCCCGTGCGCCCTTGCTGCCTTGCACCATCGCGGCTCAGGCGCGGTCGCTGCCCCGCGCGCCGCCCCTGCCCCGTGTGCTGCTGCTTCCTGGCACCGCCGCTGCCCGTGCGTCGCTGCCGTGCACTGCTGCCCCGTGCGTCGCTGCTGCCTGGCGCCACTGCTGCTTGGCGCCCCCCGCTGCTCGTTCGCCGCTGCCACGCCTCCGCTGCCCTATGCGCCGATGCTGCTTGACGCCGCTGCTGCCCCGTGCGCCGTCGCTGCCTGGCGCCACCGCTGTCAGTGCACTACTGCAACCCGTCTGCCACACCACCGTCGTTGGTGCCCTTGCGCAGCTGCTGCCCTTGCACCGCCATTGCTGCCTGTGCGTTGCACCGTCGGAGGTGCCACCGAAGCGCCGCATCGTCACTCCTGCCGCCCGTGCGCGGCTACTACCCGTGTGCCGCACCACCGCCACTCCCGCCCTTGCGCCACTGTCGCTAAGCAATGCTGCCTATCATGGCGGCGCCTACCGTACTGACCTTTTACGCAGAGGGACGACCGATCGAATACGAGTCCTAGCTTCTAGACCTTCACTCGTACCTGCAGAGTGTTACCAAGGACGATGCCTCGCTTTTTTAGCACACGTCGGGGTCCCTATCTGCCCCATCTGAGTTGACTGACACCTGGCTCTACCGCTACTGAGGCTCTGCGGTAGCAGTTTAGGATTGATCGCATTGCCCATACACAGTGGTTAGCACGCGACGCCACTGCCCAACTTGCAGTCTGCTCTCACCTCCCGCCCGACCATAGGTCCCACTTTCGCCAGCTGAAAACGGACTCTAAGTGCAACTCCTCCTCCTCTTCTGCCACCCTAGGACTCCTTGCGCTGCCGTTTCTCTTCCCAAGCTGTCTGACTTCACCACTGTAGCCGATCTCATGACTCATCTGCGCTCCCTTGACACCTGCTAACGTGTTGCTCTTAATCCGGAGTTTCTGGCTGAAAACCAGCCCTCCATGTATCTCACTCTCTACCTCCTCACGACTCGCCTCCCTGACTCTCTTCGTGCCTTTCGAGACCACTTCCTCTTCCTAGACCCCACTGTGCTCACCCTTGCCTCGCTTGAGTCCCGTCTCCTTGAGGCCGAGACCAGTGCCTGCGCTGTAGCTGCCTCCTGTGGTACTCCCCGCCCCTCATTCTTTGAGGGGTTTTCCCCCTCCCTTCTCGCGCCTGCTATTGCCTCTGCTGGCCTGTTGACTTCCTTGGGGGACGTCGGTGCTGCGTCTGCACCTAGTGGGAGGTGTCGCGGCAAGGGTGCTCGTCCTAGGGGTTGGGGCGGTGGAGGTGGTGGAGGGGGCGATAACGGTAGCAGTGGCGGTGGTGGTGGCAGTGGCGGTGGCGGTGGTGGGGTTAGTGGAGATGGCGGTGGTGGTGGAGGTGGGGGGAGGTGGTGGAGGCGGTGAGGGTGGTGGGGTTGGTGGAGGGGGCGCGGGGTGGCGGTCGGGGTGGAGCTGGCAAGGGTGGAGGCTAGTTCGGCTACCAGAGGAACTGCAACTGGTGAGGACGGAGGTTCTGGGGGTGGATAGCAGCAGCAATCACGTTGGCAGGAGACCCTCTCACCGCAGCCTCCATGAATGGGTTGCCTAGCGAGGCGGCCCCGGAGGCGGAGTACGTCCGACACACGGTTCCCCGCCCTGGAGAATTCTGCGGCAGGCTGGGGCACACTGAGGATCGGTGCTTCTACCGCCTCGACAACGCCTTTCACGCGGAGTTTGGTGAGCAGGCCAAGATTCGTGACTGGTTAGGATTGCTCAAGAAGGGCGTAGATGTATATTTTCTTGATTGGGACCAAATGTCTGGTGGCATGTATGCTATGTATGCTGCCAGTGCCAGTGCTGAGGGTGACTATTGTTCTTGTGTGCGTAGATCTGGTAGTGTAGAGGCTGCTAGAGTAGGTGCTTGTGAGACTATTAACACAGGTGCAGTTCCTACGAAGACTTAGCTCACCTTCACATTGGACTCCGGCGTATCTTGGTGCTTCTTCCGCGATTGCATCAAAGTCACCCTGCTCCCGGCACCCGTCCCTGTCACCGTGGCCGACCCCTCCTTTTGCTCGATCATTTCACGCGGGTCCACTGTTCTCCCATGTCCAGCGGCCCCCTCTGGCTCCCTCACGGGTCTCCACCTCCTCTCGATCGCTACGAACTTGGTGAGAGAATATGATGGTCACCACCACCACACCTGGGGGCGAGCGTGTGGCGATTTGTACTGACACGGAGACTAGAGACCATCTTGCCACTTATACACGTAGGCCTGGGACTGGACTAAACACACTGCACACTAAGTCTGCTTAGGTAGCTGCGCCTTGCTCGTGTCAGTTGCTCACGCACCCGTCCCTCCTCTGGCACTACCATCTTGGTCACCCCTCCCTGTAGCATATACGCGCATGCACTTGTGTCTCCTTGTCTCTGGCGTCCCGCGGTCCCTGCCCCCGCTCCCGCTAATCGCGGCGCACGTCGGTACCCCCCCCCCCCCCCCCCTCCCCCCCCCCCCCCCCCCCATCTTCTCCCTCCGGAAATCGCATCAGGGTGGTACCCGAGAGTAGTCTTTATCATCAGGGCGAGTGCATAAGGCCTGTCTGAAGTATCATTGTAAAAAAAATAATCATATTTTCTTTTTCCGTTTAAGGGCGCCTCATAAAACAACTCTGTAAAACAAGGGTGAACACCTATACCTCCCCTTATAGTAAGGCCATAAGGGTGTTTCACCCTTATATTCAGAGGCATGCAAGCTACCGTTTGCATGTTTGCCTATACCGTATATTGCTCGCTCATGCCTTTGCTTACATTGTACTACTTTTGATTTTGCTTTGTTGCATAATGTTACGAGTGCAATTGAGTGAGCGAGCGAGAATTGCACTATCGAAGCAAAAGTACAATGAGCGAAAGCATGAGCGAAGAACATATAGCGAAACTATATTGGTAACGGTAATGTGTGAAAATTGGGGTGCGAGACGGGCCTAGCGCCGAGGTTGGGAAATGTCGAGGCGGTAGGTCCGGAGCGCCGGTTACCAACCGAACCGTGAGATTGGGTCGCGCCGTGAACAGTGGAGGGAACAGTGTCGAGGCGAATGTCGCGAGTGGTAACGGTTTTACTGTTGGGTGCTGTTGGCGGGAACAGTGGTGTACGCGCTGAGCAGGGACGCGAAGTAAGGAAAAGGAATTTTCCTTACACTACCCCCCCCCCCTAAGGAGGCCCTCCTTACGAAAGCGCGTGTACATCCCGGAAATTCCGGCTGCGCAGATACTCGGTGAGGACGGGGTGGTTCTCAATCC